CTCGCTCCTTCTCCCATCAGGGTTGTACACGGTGCATTTCAACACTGAAATGATACAGATGGTTAATAAGACGGTTGAGGCAGATAAGTCTAAGAAAGCAATCTCAGACATGTTTTTGTTTGTTTGTTTGTTGCTAAGAAGAAGATAGAACTGATCCTGACTTATGGGGCGCCTGGGTGGCTCAGTGGGGTGAGCATCCGAATTCAGCTCAGGTCATGATCTCGCAGTTGGTGAGTTCAAGGCCCACTTCGGATCCTCTGTCCCGCTCTCTCTCTGCCCCTCCCCTGCTCAGAAGTCCAGATTAAAACAAAGTCGTAAAAGTCATTATTTGGCTAGAAAATAAGCAAGGATAAAGAGCAATCTTAGTATGAATGCATATGTGGAGACCCAGAAATTATCCCCAGCTGCTTCAAACAGAAAAGGAGATATATTAAAATCATATTAGGCTCTTCAACCTTAAAAAGAATGAAATTCTGATACATTCTACAACACGGAGGAACCTTGAAAACAGTATGGTAAGTGAAACAAGCCAAAATATCGTATATTATCACTTCCGTCAAATGTGTAGAGTAGGCACATCTATATGGACAGAGGTAGAATAGAGGTTATCAGGGACTGGGGGAAAGAGTAAAGGGAAGATATTTACCGGGTAGGAAGATAAATAAGCTCTGAAAATGGATAGTAATGATAGTTATATAGCATTGTGAATGTATTTAATGCACTGAACTTTAAATTTGAAATGGTTAAGACAGTAGCTTTTTTGTTGTGTAGATGTTCAAAAAAATACCCCCCCAAATAACCAGATGTTAGCCTTAATTTCCATCATCTGATGAATGGATAAAGAAATTGTGGTTTATGTACACCGGCTGATTACTAATGGCAGTGAGAAAGAATGAATATGGCCTTTTGGCAGCGCAGGAGGAACTGAGAGTGTGATCTAAATTGAAAATAAGTCTACAGAGAAGGACCAGATACCCATATGTTTTCCTCTATGTGGATCCTGAGAAACTTAACAGAAGAACCATGGGGGAGGGAAGGAAAAGAGAAAATAAAGGTTAGAGAGGGAGAGGACAAACCAGCATGAGACTCTTTGAGAATCCCAAAGCTGAGGGGTCTATGGGGTGGTGGGACGAGGGGTGGGTGGTGCATGGGTATTAAGGAGGGGCACCTGGCTTGGGAAGAGCACTGGGTGTTGTATGGAAACAATTGACCAATGCTTCATTTCACATTATTAAAAAATAAAATAAATAAAATAAAATAAAATAAAATAAAATAAAATAAAATAAAAATAAAATAAAATAAAATAAAATAAAAATAAAAATAGGCAAAGGCGGGGCACCTGGGTGGCTCAGTCAGTTAAGTACCTGACTTTGGCTCAGGTCATGATGTCACAGTTTATGAGTTCGAGCCCCGCATCAGGCTCTGGGCTGACAGCACAGAGCCCACTTCAGATCCTCTGTCTCCCTCTCTCCCCATCCCTCCCCCTTGTCTCTCAAAAATAAATAAACTTAAAAAAAAAATAGGCAAAGGACCCGAACAGACATATTTTCCAAAGATGATATACAAATGACTAACAAGTATATGAAAAAGTGCTCAACTTCGCTAATCAGGGAAACACAAATCAAAACCACAATGAAATATCACTTTACACCTACTGGGTTGGTTATTATCAGAAGAGACCAGAGACAGCAATGGTTTGGGGAGGGTGTTGAGAAGGGAAACCCTTTTACACTGTTGGGTGGGATGTAAATTGGTGCAGCCCCCGTGGAAAACAGTACGGAAAATCCTCAAAAATTTAAAAATAGGACTTCCACATGACGCAGCAATTCCACTTCCGGATATTTATCCAAAATAATCGAAATCAGAATCTGGAAGAATTATCTGTAATCCCCATGTACATTGCAGCACTCTGTACAATACCAAAAATGTAGAAACAATGTAAACGTCCATCAATGGATGAATGGGTTTTTCAAAATGTGACGTATACGTATAATGGAGTACTATTCAACCTTAAAGAAGAGAGAAAATCCTGATATATGCAACAACGTGGGTGAACCTGAAAGACATTATGCTAAATGAAATCAGCCAGTCACAGCAGGATAAATATTACCTGAATTGATTTACATGAAGTATCTAATACACGCAAACTCATAGAAGCAAAGCAGCTAATCGACGGACATACAATTTCAATTGTGTAAGAAAAAGATGCTCTAGAGATTTGCTGCACAACATTGTGCTTATAGATAATAATGTTGTATTTATTGTACACTTAAAAATCTGTTAGAGGGTACATTTCATGTCAAGTGCTCTCACCACAATAATTTTTTTTAAATGGATTTAAAAAAAAGAGTTTGGACTTCAACACGAGGTGTGAGAGAGAGAAGAGTTAAATATCAACAAGGAGATGCCTTCATGTAAATTACATACCAAAATTTCCTTCTGCCTAAGGATTTAGCTTCTATAACAATTTTCCTGACTTAGCGTGATAATAATAGTGATAGTGTATTAGTGATGTCAGCATAGCAGACTGCCCGGGGCTAGTTGCTAAGCAATGTCTAAAGTTGTCACTGGCAAGGGAAGGTCTTTTTCTGGAAGCAACAGAAAAAACTGGGCAAATTCAAGAGCAGATACGCCAAGAAGGTTGCAGATTTTGTCGATGGAGGCATTCCCCTAATGAAGCAGGAAAGCCTGATGAGGTAGGTTTCAGTATCACCGACAAGGTCAGCCACTCCTGGTCTGGCCCTAGTAGATGGTTTTAGCTAAAAAGCAAAGAGAATCTGGGCCGAAGAGAATAAGGAAGATTTACTCATGGCCCAACCTATTTGCAGATTACACTCAGGATGTTAGCGTACTGAAGTTCTTTAGCTGAAGCGATTGATTCTTTTGACAAGGATATAAACTGCGAGAATATTACAGGTCAGGACAGAACTTTCGGGACATGAAGGGGAGCCAACTGGAAAGTGGCAGTGCCACATCTGTGAAAACAATCGTGTGTGTGGCATCCCGGCAGCGTAGTACTCAAGCGGCTGAAGAAGGACACACTCTTGAAAAATACTTTGAGAAGCACCAACAAGGTCTAAACAGAAGTTGCTTTGTCAACTGAATTTTAAAAGTAAAATTCTGGAAACCAAAGGCAAAACTAGGTCATTAGCAGGCTTTTACACGACTAACATAAGATGAGAAAGAAGAGACTGTTGTGGAGCAAATTTGAGAAACAACGATAAAATGCCGTAGAATTAGTAAAAAGGAGCACGGACAGTATAAAACATAAAACCGGAAATTCGAAAGATCAACTTAAGGAATTCTTCAAAAATGCCAAGGAAACAGGCGAACAAATCTGAGAGAGAACATGATATATGAGAAGACTGGATAGCAGAGATCTCAAGCAGATCACCAATACTTTTTATTTAAAAAAATGTAATGTTTATTATTTGAGAGAGAGAGAGAGAGAGAGAGAGTGCAAGCAGGGGAGGGGGCGAGAGACAGGGAGACACAGAATTGGAAGCAGGCTTCAGGCTCTGAGCTGTCAGTACACAGCCCAGTGTGGGGCTCGAACTCACCAACCGTGAGATCATGACCTGAGCTGAAGTTGGGGGCTTAAGTGACTGAGCCACCCAGGCGCCCCAGATCATTGATACTCTTAAAAAAAAGAGAGAGAGAAGAAGAAGTAAAAGAGAATAGAGAGAGAGAAAAAAATTGAGATTATGGAATTCCTATTAAAGATAGTGGTTAATTCTATCTAAACCTGTCTGGAATATTCAAAACATTTGATCTCTACACCTTTGCAGTAGTTAATCTATTGCTGAATAACAAATTTCCCCAAACCTGAGCACCCGGGTGGCTCAGTTGATTGGGTGTCCGACTCTTGATTTCAGCTCAGGTCGTGGTCTCACGGTTCGTGAGATCGAGCCCTGTGTCGGGCTCCGCGCTGACATTGCGGAGCCCGCTTGGGATTCTTTCTTTTCCTCTCTCTCTGCCTCTCTCTCTCTCTCTCTCTCAAAATAAATAAATAAACACAAAAAACTTTCCCCAAACCACAGCAGCTGAAAAGAACATGTATTTATTCTCTCAAAGTTTCTATTTTTGTAGAATCTGGGCAAACCGGAGCTGAGTCTTCTGCTTCTGTTTTTCTCATCAGATAGCAGCTGAGGTCTACCTGGGATGGGGGCTGTTCCTGAGCTCATCCCATGTTCATTGGCAGAATTAGCCCCTTCTGTGTTGTTGGCCTGACACGTGCAGCTCACGCTGTCTGTCGCTCAGAGGCCACCCTCAAGTCGTTACCGTATAAGTGGCATTATTACTCACTTAAGTAATAATACAGTTTCACCCTGTCCACAATTTCTGATTGCAGCTAAAAGGTGCGCTCTTTGTCACCTGTACCTCACACAACTTGGTCATTTCATGCGAAGTTAAAAACATTTTCAAAACTCATAAAAAGCAGTAACTTGGTGAGGTGCTAAGGAGTATTTAGAGAAACCACATGCTACACCAGCCATACAGTACCTGAAAAAGACCATAGTTTAATCTATCATCTTAAAGCAGAGAAAGTAAAAACAACCGATTATACAAGCAGGTTTGGTAGCATACTCGAGGTGGTTAAACGTCACATCGAGGGGCGCCTGGGTGGCTCAGTCGGATGAGCGGCCGACTTCGGCTCAGGTCACGATCTCGCGGTCTGTGAGTTCGAGCCCCGCGTCGGGCTCTGTGCTGACAGCTCAGAGCCTGGAGCCTGTTTCCGATTCTGTGTTTCCCTCTCTCTGACCCTCCCCCGTTCATGCTCTGTCTCTCTCTGTCTCAAAAATAAATAAACGTTAAAATTTTTTTAAACGTCACATCGAGGAATTCTCTTAAGGTTGGTTAAGTGGCAGATCTAATTTGGAAAACAGGACTGTGAAATCAAAGTCTTTGCTTTGAACTGTCTAAATTGTCCCACAGTTTAGCTCGGTAGGAAACTCGGCACGGCTTGGGTTCAAAGTCTTAGGATAAGAGAATCATCTTACCATCATTGTCCTCGAGGTATCTGTCTTCATAAGGAGCTGTGAGGTCTCAGCATTAGACACCTACGGCCACCATTTCAGAATTTACAGAGAAGTTCAGATGCCTCCTCTTGAGAGTGGATGTTTGATTTTTAGCTTGGGTCATGCGGTAGCTAGTTGGGGATTCTTAAGTGAAGGATTTCTATTTTATCAGTATTAAAAAGAGTGAGATAGGGACAGGAATGAAAACAAAAACCGAAGAACAAACAAAGAAATAAAATAAACAATACAGGAAAGATCCATAGGCTTGTCGTAAGACTATGGCCTTATGGGAAATAGGGATTTCTTTCTGGGTTAGGGCAAGGTCTTCTGAAATTTCATCCTACAGATAAAGCTATACTTTTTAATGTGTTCTTTAGTATACTCCCACATGGAAGGAAAGGGTGCTATAATAGGAGTGATTTGACAGATGGATTCTGGGTTTGCTGGGGACTGAGTTTCACTTTTGAGGCCAGAATGAGCTTATATAGAAACTCACACTGCGAGAGGACACAAATTTCTGGTGGGTAAAGTCCCCCATGGAAAGGAAGGTGTATGGGACCAGATCCATGGTGGAAGTTGGTAAATGGGCCAAGTGTAACAAACAAACAAACAAAACGGTGAAGATTAAGTGGCCCTAATTTCCCACATGGAAAGCATGTGCCCTGATAATGGTAGCGGCTACTTTATTAGATAGGATGACTTCTGCAGCAATTAAGAAAATCTGTGGGG